ACGTTGTAATAAATTAATATTTAGTGCATATAGCAGAAATTTTATAATTACTTTTTATGGAAAAGAGAAGCTAGAAAGTTTAATAAATTAAAAAATTTTCTAATATATGTAATTTACAATTGTTTTGATAACATATATTAGAAAGTGTAATGCCGATATGATACTCTCGTGTTGAATATTCTAAAATTCTTACGCATTTTTAATAATTTTTTTTAGTTTAAATTTCTATTATACTTATGTTTATATTTTATATTGTGATTAATCACTTACTCGGTACATAATATTTCGAATTTGAAATCGAGTCCAAATTTGAATCGGATTGTATATTCAAAATCAGTTACTAAATTTTAAAGTGTGGGCATTATTAATGTAACAAAATGAATTAATTATCATAATATAGTAAAAAATGAGAAGCTCATTTTATTAGTTTACAAATTTATGTAAAAAAAAATAAAGTAGGGGTTGGCAACCCTGTTATGTACAACCAGTAGCTTGTACGCTTCAACTGGTCACTCCGGTCACCCTCGTTGCTTTACTTAAACTATGTATATTTACATTATAAGTTGAAGAGTTACAGAGTAATTATTCTTTAAAGATTAATAACAGTTTTATCATCATTATGAAACGATCGGTAATAACCAATTTCTCTATTTTCTATAATTTTATAACGATTATTAAGATCCATTTACGTTTATATCGTTAAGGGTTGTTTTTAGGGGAGGTTAGTTTGACAACGGGTACAGAGAATACCTTCGTGTATTTCACGAATAGAATGATTTAACTCAAATGATATTAAATGAATACTCTTAAATTATAGTTTCACATGATAGTACTTTGATTTTAATAAATCTTTGCACTTTTATGTCACAACTTTTGATTTTTCAGGTAACTGATGAAAATGGGGAGGCAAAACGATCTTTTGTCAAGCAAGAATGTGTTACTTTTGGATATGACGGCACCTATACTGCTTATACTACATCGTCTTCATCTCCTTCAACAGTTACCCAGCCGTTGCCTGGTCAACCTCCATTGCCCCCTATGCCACCACCGTCAGGTGGAGTGCCACCACCTCCTCATGTTTTTGGGCCAGTGCCCTCCCAAGTTACACCAATTCCAGCATGGACACATCCTCCTGCCCCATGGCAATGGATAACACCTCAAACGTCACATTTACCACCTCCACCTCCACGCGATATAGTTGCGAACACGTTTCAAAGAGAAATGCCTCTACGAGGTAATTATATGAGACGTGAAAGATTTAATAATAATAGGAACAACCCATACGTTCAAAGAAATAATTATCATCGTAAAAATCGAAGGCTTGCACGATTTGGACAGTCTCAAGGTCAATTTGAACAAGCAGCATATTTTGGGACAACACTGAGTAGTAGTCTTGGTTTAGAATGGCAAAGAAATAATTATGCCACAACTGCAAGCAATGCTATTATAAATCACATTCCTCCTCCTAATCTTCCCTTACCCTCCATTCCTCCAGGAATTTTAACAAATCGACATGGGGAAGACACTTCAGATCAGGTTTGTTAAAATTGTATTAGTAAATATAAAATGTTATTAAATTTATGTTCAGTTTAATAATAGAATCTAATTTGTCTGTTGCAGGAGGAAGTTGTAGTGAAAAAAAATAAACAGAGGAAACCCATGTCACAAAGTTACCCCAGTCGACCATGGAATCGAGAAGATGCAGAAAGAGCTTTAACAATTGAAAACGAATATAACAAACAAGTGAGAGCTCAGAGTCTCATAATAAAATTCCCAGACCCTGATTTGAACAAAGACATTGTTAGAGAATTTCATCCTAGTATTAGAAATATTCATTTCCAAAGCCCTAGTGGTCCAAGGTACTGTTTCATACAAATGGAAGAGAGTGTTGATATTGATGAAGCTATAAAAGAGTTGGAGAAAATACCGTTTGGAGTCGGTCATTTAAAAGTTGAACGAAAAACCTTAAGGGATGAAGATGAACCAATGCCTGAGGAAATAGATCCCTACACATTATACATAGGAAACCTACCGGAGTCCGTTAATGTCAATGAAGTAAAAAATAAATTTCCCACAGCTGCTAGAGTAGATGTAGGTTTTGCACAGAAAATGAGAAATACTCGGTAAATTATATTTATCATATGCAATATATTTATTTTATGCATGTATTCTACATGCTATATTTTTATAATCTTCCAGATATGCTTTTATGAGGTATAATAGTGTAGATGATTCGATATCTGCATATAAACAAGCCCATAACCTAATGTGGGATACCAGAAGTATTATTGTTAGATTTAGAAGGCAGCGTGGTAATACTTGTCTTCCTGGTGAACCTAAACCAAATGTTAAAAAAGTGAAAGAAGAACCAAACAGTAATGCACAAGTAAAGAATGAGCAGAAAGCTAATCATGCCGATAAAAGTGTAACGATTTTAGGAAATAACATAGGAAATAGAATACAAGAAAGTTCCAATCAAACACAGAATAAAGTCACATCTCAGGTATCAGAACAAAACACAAATCTGCAGACCTCCACTTCCCCCTCATCTGTACCAACTTCAATAGCATCTGCTAAATCAGCACAGTTACAACAGCAACAGCCATGGGTAAAATCATATATTATTGCATAGTATTCAGAAGTTTTGCGTACAATAACAGAATTTTTTTTTCAATTAATGATATTTTAGACGAGTCAACCACCTCAAATACCTCCAGCATCAGAAGCACCTCCACCGTGTCCGGAAGAGAGAGAATCGGTTACAGAAACTATAATACTAACGGAAATTAAGAAAGAACCAGAAGATTATGAGGAAATGGACATGTCCAGTCATATTCGGTCTTACAAAGATATAGACGATGATGTGGATGACGACGACGATGATGACGAAGAGGAAGAAGAAGATGACGATTCTGACGATGATGAGGATAATGAAGGCGGTTACGAGGAAGATGAAGAAGAAAATATGGATGCAAACGGACGATTGTCATTCACTGACAAACAAGAAGAAATGATGAAAGATTCTGAATCAACTGATGTATGTTTACATAATACAATTACCGATTAGAAAATCGATTAAGATTTGTAAATCTAACTTGTACTAATTTTTATTTCAGCATCTTGACCAAATGTTCAGCGAATTAGAGAACATGGTAATCAGAGTTAATGTATTAGTATTCTATTTTTAAAGAATTTTAATTTCATACTTAATGCGTAAGTATTCCTAGTTGTAAACTGTAACGAGTGAGACTGCATTTATTTAAGTATGATATTAGTAATTGAGTCGTATTTAAATACTTTTGCACCTATATGTTTTCATCTTATAAATTTTTATTTTTGAGATGTGCTCATATGAAATTGTTTGAAATACTTATGAATACGATTATTTTTTTATCGAATCGATCTACTTTGTATATTTCCTTTATAGATTTATTTTTTCAGTTCTTATATTAATAATTGTCATCATTTATTAAACTATTTTTTTACAAATTATGTTTTATTATGATTTTGTATTTGCTTATTACATGAAGCTTTATATTCAATCGTAAAAATAACAAAAATATTAATCTCAATACGTAATCAAACTTAAATCTAGTTTCCTAATCGTTTCAATTGCGCGCTTACACACACGTATTTCCGGGTCAAACGAATACTAAAATTTTTATATAACGTATTTCTACGTCCTTTTTAGTAGGAAGACATTTTTATGTAAAATAAATTAAGAAATTGTCATTTATGTTTCTTTCAAAGATGTTTTATCATCTGGAATAAATTTAAAGCAAATTACACAAATTCTGCGTTGTTGTCTCGAATTGTATCTATATTACGTCCTCGCTTCACAGATGGCATGATCGCATCTTCCGGTTGAGCATTTTGGCGGTAAGGAAGCGCGGGTTACGTTACCGGTCTCAAGAATTCATTCAAGTGACGAAGATTGNCTTCAATTGCACGCTTACACACACATATTACTGGGTCAAACGAATACTAAAATTTTATATAACGTATTTCTACGACTTCTTAAGTAGGAAGACATTTTTATGTAAAATAAATTAAGAAGTTGTCATTTAGGTTTCTTTTAGAGATGTTTTATCGTCTGTGGGATAAATTTAAAGCAAATTACACAAATTCTGCATTGTTGTCTCGAATTGTATCTATATTACGTCTTCGTTTCACAGATGGCATGATGGCATCTTCCAGTTGAGCATTTTGGCGGTAAGAAAGTGCGGGTTACGTTACCGGTCTCAAGAATTCATTCAAGTGACGAAGATTGTGTCATCGGCAGTGTGTACGTACTAATTGCCGAAGAAAAGTGGTCCAGCAAAATGTTCGAAGCACGATTAATACAGAGTGCTATCTTGAAGAAAGTGCTGGATGCAATAAAGGATCTTTTGACCGAAGCTACTTTCGAATGTTCTGATTCGGGTATACAAGTCCAGGCTATGGACAATGCTCACGTATCTTTGGTGTCCCTTAATCTCAGAAGCGACGGTTTCGATAAATATAGATGCGATAGAAATTTGTCGATGGGCATGAGTGTTGCATGGTAAGACTCTCCAGTATATATAGGTACTCTAATAATAATAATCAGCATATATGTAACAAAACCTTTGTTCCTGCCTAATCAAGACAATTAAACTTTAAAGGACAAATGAAAGCAATTAAATTTCTGTTTTAGCATGTCTAAGATTTTAAAATGTGCTGGCTCAGAAGATACAGTCACTCTACGAGCGGTGGATAATCCAGAAAATATTATGTTTATATTTGAATCACCAAACAAAGAGAAACTTGCAGAGTACGAGATGAAACTTATAAATATGGATCAAGAACATCTTGGTATACCTGTATGTTTCATTCTTCATGCATCATTTCATTATTTATTTATCATGATTATGCTATCTTTATCTTACGATATTATTGCAGGAAACATCATATTCATGTGTTGTAAAAATGCCATCACAAGAATTTTCTCGCATCTGTAGAGATTTAAGTCAATTCGGAGAATCAATAACATTTGCATGTTCTAAGGAAGGTATCAAGTTCAGTGCTGCTGGAGATTATGGACAAGGTATAATCATTTTATATGTTAAATATGTAACCGAATGTGAAGAAAAATGCAGTGATGTTTCTACATTCCATTATTTAAATCACAAATAGCACATAAACTTACCTCGACTGTAAAATATTTTCTTCGTCCTTGTAACATCCTGCACTAAAGAATCTTTGAACACAACAGCTACATGCCAACTGATTGAAATTAAGCAATGCCCTAGAAAGTATTTGCTTGCTTGACCTTGTTATCATTAGGTTGAAGTCATAGAAGCATTTATTTACAATGGAGCCTGTTTACATTTTCATATAAGGAATTATATCCTGTTCTAGTAAAACTAATTTAAAAATGCAAATGAATTACAAGATGTATATATTACAAAATGTAAAAATATATCTATACAATTGACATTATAATGTTATCATTAGATTCATATAAGATTTCTTTTTTTTCAGCACAAGTCAAGTTAGCACAAACAGCGGACGCGGATAATGAAGAAGAAGCGGTAGTTGTTAATATGCAAGAACCTGTGAAATTAACTTTCTCATGCCGTTACCTTAATTCCTTCGTAAAGGCTGGACCCCTTTGTACACAAGTGCAACTATCCATGTCTAATGACGTACCTCTAGTATGTCAATACAAAATTGGCGATATTGGACACATAAGATATTATTTGGCTCCGAAAATTGATGATGATGAAGAAAATTAAGATTCTTAGGAACTTATTCCAATATATAAGCTATACTATTATTATTGCAGAGCATAATAGAATTACTTCATTTTTATACGGACATCGCAGTTCTGTGTGTCTTATTATTTATCACGGTATTAGATAGTAAGTATTCTCGAAATTTTACTATGAACAACATGATACCACTACACGTATGAAAGAGAGCAGGTATATTTTGATTTTCATTGTTTAAGGAACGATTAAGGGTAGTTAAAAAATACTTTGAAGGTAATATATTTAAATTTTACATTTAAAAGTTATTTGGCTCGTCACAGTGTTAGCGCAACGTAGAATTGACACTAAGATTCATGGTAAGAGTGACACGATCATGATTAACATGGTAATGCGGTGTCATTCTCTTAAGATTTATATTGTTACCGTTTCATAAACTGTGACAATATTTTGATAATATTGCGATCTTTTTTTTATATGTAAGAAGAACTCAATATATTTCCAAAACATTTCATAAATTTTGAATTACGTGTTATCCTTATGCCCTAGCCTAATTGAAAGTTCAAATATTTTTCTGACTTATTTTATCTTATTTCTTATACTTTTTGTGTATAAGCTAGTTTAATATAAAAATACATAATTAGCTTACGAGCTGAGGGAATAAGAGGGCTACCATGGATGGAATAGCCTAGAAGTATACAGTTAAATCTTACACAATTTGGATCTCGTATAGTTACTAAGTAATTAAATATTAATCAATAGATGTTGATTTATACTATGAATTATTTTACACGCACATACTGCGAAGACCTGTATATCGTCGTTCCTATTCATACACGTTTAAATCAAATGTCTAATTAAAATAAATACTTTTTCATATTTTATTCCTATATTCAAACTAATTAAAGTCGCAACGAAACAAAGTCACTTTGGCAATAGTAATCAGCCTCTTTGGTTTTAAAGCCCTGATATTGCTTTTGTGTTATTAACAAAACAGAAACTGACATTTAAAACTAGAGTAAACAATTTCATAAACAATGTCGTAATTATGTATTCGAATTAATATATACGTATACAGGATGCCAGGGTTAAGTGAAACAATCAATTATCTAAAAGTATTGAAGATGAAAAAAAGATTTTACTTCGCTTGAAAGTTACATGACACGAAAGAGCCCACTTATTACTGAAGATGATTTTTATTTCATCGATTTTAGAGATTGTTTCAAATATTGTTTTTTAAATAGAACTATATATTTTTCTTTAATCTTTTTCCTTTTAAATTTGCACGATCAATATCTCGAAAACTATTCAACATTAGATTGTAAATTTTATGGGTTGTTGGATTCGTAGTAAAATGCACTAATAAATGACATAATGAAAAATACACAATTCCATTTAAAAAATTAAACTTGACAGCCTTATTTCATAAATTAATCACAAATTCGCTATCAAATGTGCCTTGTAATGTAACTATTAAGTAAATATCATTTTGGGCTCTTCAATGCATGACGGAGATAATCGACTGTTTTGCTTAAATGTAAACACCCTATATGTTAGAAAAAATTTAACGCGCGAGCCTAGTAGCTTAAGTTACTTGTTCGAATTTTTAAAAAAATTTTATCAAGCTTTCGATTTTGTCTGATTTCAAAGAATATGCAACGCGCGTTCTCCGATAGCCTTTTAATGTTTTGGACCAATTTGACATGCTTACGCATGGTCGCGAATCCATATAGATAACTCCGCCAGTCTGTGAGCATGATTTGAAAAGTATTTAGGATGCTGCGTGACGCTCACTTTGTAAATGAGGTACCAACGAAGGAAAAGAAACATGTACATTTCGAAAATTATAAGGGCTTAAGCATTCGTGTTGCCGTTACTCCCGTATAAGCTGGGATGTACATACTTGTCATGCAATGTCCTTAGATGCCTTAGTAGATTACTCTTTACGTTGAAGCCTTTTTTACAATAGGAACAAAGAAAAGGCTTTTCCCCTGTATGTGTTCTTTGATGGATGACCATCGACGCATGACTTGGGAATTCTTTTTGACATATGTTGCACAATTTTTGGTGGCTATGAACTCTTTTCGGTTTTGGTGGCGCCGAGTTGTTCATGAGAGCTAACTGCTCTTCGGTGTGTTCCGTTTGTATGTGGCGTACCCATTCTTGAGGCGTCGAATACATGTTACCGCACAGGTCACACTTTAAGGGCGGAAAATCCTTGCTGTCGTCGTCTACGTCACCCTAAGAAATCACTCAGATTTAATATGATTTCATCCTAGCAATTTTTGGCAGCGCTTTCGCAGCACATTTACCTTCCTCTTTTTCCTTCGATTTTCGGTCATATCAGCGTGCGTGAATTCAATGTGTCTGACCCAGTCCGAGGGTCGATTAAACGTTTGACTACACATGTCACAGGTCAATGGCGAATACTCTTCTTCTTCGTCTGCGCTGTGTACGATTTCCTGAAACGGACGTAGCAATTAAGATAGTAATTATTATTGTACCCTTTGCATGTATGACAATTAAGCCTTAGAATCCTACGCACTGGTTTAATATCAATCTCATGGTCTATCGTCAACGATTCAGATGGATCGATTGTTTCCTCCCAAATTGGTTCGTCTTTCACCAGAAGCTCCAAATTCAGCTCCGTCTGAAACACATGCGAAAATGTGTGAATTACCCCGTACCACGGTACAACTCCGTGGGTTATCTTACATTTTCACCGTCCTCGCTTTTAGATTTGTTCGATTCTACATCGCTGTTGCTAGTGGTTTTCCTTTTCTTGCCGTTCGCCTCCAGGTTCTCCTTATTTTTATTCTGTTCGTTATTCTTATTCTCCTCTAACACCTTCTTGGTCTCCGTCTCGCTGATCTTCTCCTCGATCTTCTCGATACTCTTTCTCTCTGAGGTAGGTTTCTGTGGTTGAACATTGTTCTGCACCGACGTGGTCTGCTGTACATTCTCGACGACCTTCTCAGTCGCCGGCTGAACCAGCTTGATCTTTTGAATTTGCCCCGTCATCGGCGGTTGTTCCCGCTTGTCTCGGTCAACCTTTTGATTGTTCGACTGGATATTCTCTTTTTTGCTTCCGTTGTTGGACCGCCATAAACCACGGACCCGCAGTATGTCACCGGCCTTTAATACACCCTCCAGCTGATCATTCGTCACGGTCGCCTCGCCGCTGTACATGTACTGGATTAGGATTTTCAGCGTACGATAGCCGATCTCCGTCGGCAAAACCTGAAATAATAATTATCAATTCGCTAATTCGTAATTACCCGAAGAAACGTGTTTATCACGACTGCGCCGATAAGAACTTGAAATGTTTGAAATGTTCCCAATTTTTTCGCGGACCGTCTTTGCGCAGCAACTGCTGCAAATGAATTTCCGTAGCGATAAAAGAACATTGCGTGAACATTTGCTGATAATCTATTTGGCTCGGAAGCATTATTTCTCGTCGCCCACGAAAGGGATGAAGATAAAGCAATCTCATACGGGCGAATAAGAGTTCCGCTTACGAACCCGGCAGGGATCTGTTTACATATACGTACCACGATTGTAGGAGCGTTTGTGTTTGCCCCGAAATGGCATGTTTGAAAAATATGACTGAAATACGACGAGCAAGCGGCAAGGACGAATCGATGGGCAGCCACGTGCCGGCCGCAGGACGTCGCCAATAAGACATCCGCGAAGGATTCTGAGTGCAGCAACGTAGCGACAGAGGTGTGCAGATGCGCGCCATAGCTGTGCCACTTGAGTTGATAATTATCCGAAGCAGCGATGGCCATTTTTTCTGCATCATATGAACAAAAACGAATGAACGATCGATTTAATATTTTCTTGCGTTCCAGCCAGACTTTCTTCTTGCTCTCTTATCGAGCCTGTTGCGTCGCCCGCGCGTCCCGTTTCTATTCAAGCAATTGCTGTAGAACGTAATCGATTAAAATAATTAATATTTTAAAAAGAAAGAAAGATAAGAAAATAAACAATCGTCGTCTGTCAAGAATCGAATCGAATATAATATTATCGACTGTCAGATCAATTGTTATACCTCGAAAATCTTGTTTTTTGCATTGATCGTGATTTTTTTTTTACGATAAATAACCAACACACTACGGTCACGGATCACCGTTTATACGTTTCTCCATTTTATCGTGCGATTTTCGAAAACACCTCGATCGTAATAGAATGTCGTTCACTCTGATCGAATTCACCCCGCCAGCGTCAACCGTTCTATTCTTTCGTGACGTCTTCCGCGATTCCCGGTAATCCGTTTGCTCACGATTCCGACAACCGACATCGACGGATCCCGATCGTATGGATCAGCATAGATCGTCAAGTGTCAATGGAACGTTACGTTCGAACGAACTCGAGGGATCACGCCAGGCACCGAACGCGATAATTACGCACTGTCTCCTCCGCCACCCTCGAATCACACCCTCGCCTTGATAACCCGACGTACATACGACAGAGAGTGTACACAAAACATTCGCCTTACAACGGGGGAAATAGTCAAATGCCAGTTTTACACAGCGTGACACCGTCGCACGATTTGTTGAAACAGGCTAGGATCTTAGGATCGTTACCGCGTGGAGAATCATTGATTTTCGAGCCTGCACGGGTTGCACGATATTACCCCGCTGTCTCGCACGAACGTCAACCGAGTCCGCGAGTGGAACCGAAAATCTCTGGCGTCCGGTCGGGCCACGGTTTTCTTTGTCTATTTCCCTCCGGATGTAAACCGGGTTGTAACGTTGTCAACGTGGGGTTACCTGACGACATCGGTCAGAAGATCGGTACCCGCGTCACTCCGGTATAACCTTCTTGTATTTAATCGCACGATAATTCCTCGTCGAGATCCGCGTCACCACGGTGTGTCTCGCACGCGTCGTTGGTGTTTTGAAAGGCGCTTCGCGCGGATACGGGACACGGGGCAGATATGAGCATCGAACCGCCGCGTAGGGGCCTAAAAATCGATATTTCGGTCTTTGCTCCATCCTCTCCGGCGGTGCAGCCGTGCTCGCTCGCTTTCGCGGCTAGGTAGGGTGCCCCCCTGTTCATCATCGATTTTCCCGGCTACCAATCGCACGCATCCATTTATCGCATCGATCGCCCGAGCTGATTTCAGCGTTTGCGTCCGTCCGTCCATCCGCCCGCTCCACGATTCATGCCCGTGGAACCCCGCCGCACCCCACCTCTCGCCGCCCAGTCCGCCCCTTGAGCCACCCGGCCACCGTTCATCCTCCCTTCCCGTCGATGTCGAACCTCCGGCTACTACTACCTTAGGCTGTACAGAGAGACGCGACTAAACGCGACCCTTCGCGATCCTTTTCGCCATCGTTGCCGACGCCGGACACGATGTCTCCCGTTCCTATTTCGTTTCATCCGCGTTTACCCGGCACACCAACCTGGTTGCGGGTGCCTGTTGATGCGCCCCTCGCGTGCAAGAATCATCTACCGCCGTCTCGAATTTCTGCTAATCCGTAATAATATTTTTTTTCATCGCTGTTCAGCGGCGCGGGGAGACATTCTGTCTGAACGCCTCTGGCGATGTATATTGATTTCGAGAAATTCGAGTAATAACCTTTTCCTTTTTTTTCTTTTTTTTCTTTAAATTACAGTTAGCAGTCGCGACCGATGGAGTATCGTCTGATGGGTCGAAGTAACGCTCGTTTTCACATTGCTTTTCTTCTTCTGCTTCTTATTACTTTTTTTTTTTGCTTCTTCGAGAAGAGAAGACGCAATATCCTAACGATCCGTTTATAAAATTCCGATAAGGCTTCGCGAATTGGATTTTTTAATAATGAATTTTTATACGATCTGTACTATACGAATTCTTTTTGTACTGTGAATCTTGTTCGTTTAAGCGGTACAAGCGGAAATGCGTTTCTTTGCTTTCAAACTCTTTGACAGATGTGTCGTTAACCTGGATAGAGCGATCTATAGATCTACAGATCTACGTAGGCAGATTACAATGGTTAGTTTATAGATGCAGTAAAATTTTCGGATCGCAACTGTCCTGTTCGTTGCTGTACCCGAAGATGGCGTTCATAGTGGGATTCTTCGATTTTCAAGAATTCGTTGTATGTGTGCATGTGTACGTGTGACGATGTACTGCATTGCGTCGACGACCCATTTTGCAATGGGAGCGATAAGTTGCACACCCTCCTACCGTTAAATAATCAATCCCATGTTTCTGAGTAAACTACACGATCCTTTGCGTATAAAAGCTATGGATTATTTATTCGGTTGTCGTCGACCTTTCTTATCGCTCTTAATACACGTATGCGGTTTGAAGAAATGATTTCATGAAAAATGGTTAATAATTTGTATCGCATGTTTTATCGATTTTTATCGACGATACGTACGTAAACGAAGTCCGGAAGTGCAGTTCTTGCATAATAAAGACCGCAACCTTTAATTGTTGACAATTCCACGGTGGAAACGGTTTCGAGGTTGATCGAACTGATAAAAAGGATGAGGTCAGTCAAATAAATATATGTATATACGTGCGATACCATAATTCGCAGTTGATAGAAAACAATTAGACGATATTATATTTCAATATAAAATCGGAGTATCTTAAAAATTTGTTCAATGTTTCCTGTTTATACAGAATCTCGTTAAACGATGATCTTTTGCTTGCTCCAGCTTACCCCTTTATTTTTTTTTTAAAGAAAACTGTTTATAGTTGAAATTGAAATTGGTTTTAGGTCACGTGGCAACGTGATCACGTGGTATTTCTACATATCCCGTCAGAGGGAACCACAGATAATCTCGAGTGAATACCACGGACAATAATCCTTTCCTATAAATATATACGTTATTGTCATCGAACTGAGGTCGATTCAGTGAAACGATGCAACGGCTTCCTAAAGCGTAATGTGCATCGCGACTATAAAGGTTGTATCGACAGTGCACAGGTGTGATTTATGTGTCACATTGGGGTGACCTAGTTTACAGATAAATTTTCGCCCCTAATTTTCATCGGCTATGACCCTGCAGTGAGTGTTCTTGAAGTCGGTGGCCTCAGCGAGACAGTGACTGTGCTGTCTCCGCGACAGTGAGTTCATATCTGTTTATAGAATGCGGAAGAAAACAAACGATTTTGTTTGATCTTGTTAAAATGTGGATTTTTATCAAATATGAATGCCCTCACGTCATCAACGAACGAAGCAATTAGGTTAAGTTGACAAGAGGCATAAGTTCTTTCTAAGCACTACATCAACATGCTATAGGCATATTTTGTAAATGGTAATACGGTGAGTTGATTTGTGTTTGTTATCTCTGTGTAAATGTTAACTGATTAATGTACGATACTGGCATATTTTCACATAATTGTTACATTTAAAAAAATTGCTAAATAACAAAAAAAAACCAGCTTAAATATTTGTGGAATATGTTGCAGTTCAATAAACAAATTGATAGGCCAAGATGAAATATGGTTTCCCAAGTTTTCACATGGTGATGCTAAACAAATATTTTATGGCTCTAATTAATAATTCCTTGCAAATCAGGCATTACGTATTTGTATATATAAATAGTGTATGAAGGGACTTATTTCTACAAGATGCCACACGTTACTCGAAAGTGGGAACTGTTCCCAGGAAGAAACCGATTTTGTTGCGATGGCAGAGTAATGATGGCTCCGCAAACTGGGGTCTTTTATGTGACCGTGTGTCTCATTGCTGGAACAAGTGGTTTATTCTTTGTATTTGAGTAAAATCATTTTGACTGAACTTATCATTTTAAATGTCGGCGATTGGTTAGATAGTAACAATATTTTTTTTCATTTCTAGTTGTCCTTTCTTAGCTGTTCACATAACACCTGCAATACCAGTTGTTGGTGGTCTATTATTTATTTTTGTAATGTCTGCTTTACTAAGAACAAGCTTTAGTGATCCTGGAGTTATTCCAAGAGCAACGACCGACGAAGCTGCTTATATTGAAAAACAAATTGGTACAAAACATTTTTATGACAAGAAACATTTAACTTAATTGTTAACCAGTATTTCAGCCTATAAATGTTTATATTTGCTTTATGTTGGGTATAGAAGTACCAAACAATGGAAATTCTAAAATACACAGACCTCCACCTAGAACAAAAGAGGTATTAGTCAAAGGTCAGCCAGTAAAATTAAAGTACTGCTTCACTTGCAAAATATTCAGACCACCAAGAGCATCACATTGTAGTTTATGTGATAATTGTGTAGGTATGTGAATCAGTTAATTGTTTGTCGCGAGGATTATTTTTGTACAAGATTGGAGAAAACATCGTATGATTATTTTTTCAGAGAGATTCGATCATCATTGTCCATGGGTTGGTAACTGTGTGGGCAGAAGAAATTATAGATACTTCTATGCTTTTATTGTCTCCCTAGCATTTCTTTGTGTTTTTATACTTACTTGTGCTATTACACATTTAATAATGCGTAAGTAAATTAATTAAAGGTGATTAAAAGCTAATATGAGAAGTTCTAAATTCAGATTTAATTCATTATAGTAACAAGAGATGGTAGGCCATTTTTAGAAGCTGTAAGAATATCCCCTGGGAGTGTTGTTGTAGGAGTTATATGCTTCTTTTCTGTTTGGAGTATTCTTGGCCTTGCTGGTTTTCATACGCATTTAACTACCAGTAATCAAACAACTAACGAAGATGTAAGCATTGCGTACAATAAATTAGTTCCAAATCATTCAAATGTTGTAACCTGAAACTTGTATTTATTGCAGATTAAAGGATCATTTTCCATTAAAGTAGGGGAAGGAAGTTCCAATCCTTATAGTCAAGGAAATATTTGCGGAAACTGTTTCTATGTGTTGTGTGGACCTGCACCACCTAGCCTAATAGGTAACTCATTCTTTTGACCTTGATGTTATTTAATATAGTATAATCTTTTGTCAATATGTATAGATCGAAGAGGTATCGTAACACCTGAGTATCGAGCGGAGCAAGAAAAAGTCGGTGATGACAGTGTCATTACCAACAGCAAGGCATACGGTACTGTGGAAGTTGTGCAACCACAGGTAGTCGTATACTTAATATTTTATTCTTACATTACCTGTACTAGCTTTTTTATGTATTCTTTATTATTTTATATTTGTAGCCTAATGGTACGACTGTTCAAACAAATCCCAGTGCTGAACTCACGGGTTCGATGAACAACCTTGTCACTGGTCAACATTCACCGCAAATTGAATCAATAAACGGTGAGTTAAGCCTTCTAAGGCACACTGCTTGTTATCCCGAGGAACTTCCAGAGTATTCGCGTCAATACATTAATGACACTTACGCTACGGCATATCCCGTACAACATTGTTTCCAGGATCCTGTGAAACATATAAAATATGAGACAGATAGAGCAAACCCTGATTTTCAGATATATCCATGCAGATGTGAGGAAAACTTACAGAAGTATCCTCACAGATGTAGGGAAGAATATCACAGATGTTCGGATAATAATTTAATGTATGATCAGTGTGTCAGCGATCAGAAATTCGGCATCGATCTCCAGAAGTATCCTCAAAGATATTCTGAAGATCCAATACGATATAATATTGATGACAGAGCAGGATATCCTGATTTGCAAAAGTATCCGCAATGTTACACAGAAGATCCATTGCGACTTCCCCAATCTCAGCATGTTCTCAAGTACAACAATTTGAGATGCACTGTTCATGGTTTAAAATATCCGATATCAAAGAATCTCTTGCCAACCGTCGTAATGTCGCGAATATTAGGTGCTGGGGGAATGCCGATTATGACTCAGAATGCGATAGGATTTGAAATTAATAGATACGGTTCAGGACCATTAACTAATAATTTCACTTATGCAGAAAATTCTTTGTGCCCAAACGATGGCACTGAAGAAGGTCTTTTAAATCGAAGATTCATTATGAGTTCTATGAGTGATAACGATGACATTTAACATTCTCTACATTATTCATATTTTTTAAAGTAATAGTATCCCGTTTATTAAAAAAAATAATTGAATGAACGGCCATAGTGTCCCTTATTAAGATAATTCTTTCAGCATGTTAGAATCAAAATAATATAGGTTCAGATCGTGTCCTTTTATTATTAAGAAAACTTGTAACTA